ATTTTGGTAAAGAACTCTACAAAAGAAGAGAGCATTCCGAGTCCAGATCGTTTCGTTTCAAACGGCAATTTAATACCGCCTTCTGTTTCGCTCTCTCAGCGAAGCCTTGTAAATCGCAAAGTGTTTCGAATAGGCTTACAGTCCTTACATGCAACTGCATCTCAACATCAACCAAAAGATAATTTTCTTGAGGAAGTGAGAACACATAACGTATCAACTGAAGTCTGTTTGAAATTAATGAAACTCAAGTAAAGGTTACTATAGTTTACCCCAGTCGTAATTTGCTATTCCAACACCTCACGACAAGCAATTGGCATAACGGCAAAAACATGTCTTCCTTCAAGTAAACAATAAACAGTCTGTTCTTGTTCATTTGTAAACGAAAAAAGTGATCAATTTTCAACTTTTAAGCTTATCGAGAGCCTTTGTCTATGCCTTTGTGATGAATCACTGTTCCCTTCCTGCATGCTAGGTTAATTAATTAGCGATCGCCTCAGCTAGCCAATGGGAATTTAGCTGGCGGTTCGGCCGGCGAAAATCGAAAACATGGGGTGATGGTTGCAGGCCCACTATCAGTTCCCTTGGGCCTGCACGCAGACTAGTTCTTCACTGTCAGAATGAGAAGCCAAACTATCAATATTTAAACATTGTTTTAAATGATTAAAGATTTTAAAAATCGCAATTCGATTCCTGAATTTAAATATACATGCGGCATGCAAATATTTTGCAAATATTTTACGTTTTGCCTTGCAAACAGGCCTTCAGTTGCTAAGCAACAAACCAGGCCTTTAGTTTGAATAATAAAAATATGTATTGAAATTCGAAAAATTAAAAATATACGCACTGCGACGATACGAAAGAAAGCACTGTTTGTGAATTTTTTTAAAAAAATATTCTCACTGCCAAAATCCGTAGACATTGAAGTTCAAAAACATGCCAAACGTCTAGATGATTATCTACTATCGCAATTTCTAAATTTTCCTAGTATCCAGTTGGGATACTGAGCTTATGATACCCAGTATCCAAAATTAAAATCTGATATCCCGTGGATATCGGGATACCGCAAGTTTCGAGCCCTGCATCAGGATGGTATTCAGGAGATGGAGGATGATATATTGCTGATAAGTAAAATATCGAGTTATTGGTTGTTATTTGAGTCCATAGACATTCATAAGGATTCGAAAATTCTTCCAAAATTTCGAGTTTCCAATCGTGCCTACAAAAGGCTGCTACACCACCACCTTGCCTACCATATGGTCTGTCTTTCCGTATCACAGTGAAACCGTCAGGACATACCACTTGACTGGGAATGGTAGATTTTAGCCAAGTTTCTGTCACAATACCCAGATCTACATTGTGACTATTCAATGCTAAGTACAATGCCGAGCAAGCGTCAGGTTTAGCTAAGGATCTTGCATTAATTACAATACACGTAGGAATAGAGCGATTCTCTGGTGGTCCTGGTTTACAAACATGAATAGTTATCAAATTATTCTAATTGCGTGGCGGTGGATTATAAGATAAATTAGTGAATATGTCATCGTTAGTACATAGGATTTCACCTAAACTAGGGTCCAAGTTGGTCCAAAGTTTGGTTGACCAATTGTAGGTAAGCCTTCCAGGAGTTGTGATTTTCGAGTTGTGATTCTGGCTTTAATTCTGGAGGGCGATTGGGATTCCCCGAGTCCCATAAAAAATGCTGACTATTTCTCCTTCTGAATTTTTGCGGGTTACGTTTGCCGCGTCTCCGAGTGGTGATTCTTACTGGTATAGCATACATTTCATTAGGAGCACTAGAATTAGTACTAACACTACTGTCATTAAGGGTAGTAGGATAAACCACATCGTTGCTAACTTCAATGACTTTTTTAGGGGGATTCACGCTTCCCAGTGTATTCTATGATACGATTATTTTGTATGTGTTGGTGTTATGTACGAAATTTTATCAACTCGAACTGACTTAATTAGACTGGTATCTAAAATATTTTGTGCACTAAAATTGCACGTCCACTAAGACAAGCATTAAGTCATCACGAAAATTTTTCGTGCACTTAAATTGGAAAAGACTCGCTACCAATCCCTGTTGACTTGATAGCTCAATAGCTAGAGCAGCGGTGTGGATACCCGAAGATGTGAGTTCAAATCCCGCTCGAGCCAACAAATTTTTTGTTGCTCGATTGCAGTGTCAGATTAATATGAAACTAGTTTTTCGTATTTCTGAGGATGGTTCTGAAATAGAATTGAAACACTGCACGTCTTCTAAGACAAGTGCTAAGTTGTCACAAAAATATTTTGTGCACTTAAATTGGATAAGACTCGCTACCAATCCCTGTTGACTCGATAGCTCAATAGGTAGAGTGGACAGTATTGTGATGGTGGGCAAAATTCACACAAATCAGTCGGTCATAGAGTAAACGTTCCGGGGGGTGTATATGATTTATGTTCGTAGTGATTTATTGTGCTTAGTCAGTACTTTGAAGGTTATTTAGGCAATTTCAGTTAACTTATTTACATATTCTGTTATCCTTTTACCAAGTTCACAAAAATTTAGAGCAATTGCTTTCATTATTGTAATTCTTTTGTAAATTTTAGAACATTCGCTTCTCATGTTGTGTAAAGGATCTTTACCCCGGAACAACTGATTTTTTCTTTAGTAGCGCAAATGCACATGCACTATCAAGCCGTAGGTCACGATGGCGTGACGATATGCTAGTAAGGAGTTGACAGTGTTGTTTTCAGATGTATAAACATTTCAGACGTGAATATTGAGTAAATCTTTGAAAATCTATGCAATATATAAAGTGATCTTGTGCATTACGGCCATTCAGTTAAGTGTCGATAATATTTAGACAGTATATTCATTATACAGAGCTAGGAAGGAGCTAGACTGCCTAGACAGTGTGTTTAAGACTCAAGTGTATAAACATTTCAGACATAAATATTGAGCCGAAAATCGTTGAGATTCTAGGCATTCAATTGAGTGCTAATAATATTTTCACAGTATACTCATTATACAGAGGTACAGTATGTACGAAGAAGCGAGACAGTGTTGTTTTTCAAATATATAAACATTTCAGACATGAATATTGAGAAAATCTTTGAGATTCTACGCAATAATATGATATATAAATTGATGTTATGATTACCGGTGTTCAAGCTGTCGTTTGATTCATCACGACCTCTAAATGCAAGCTCTTGCCTGGATCAATATAGAACAGCTTGTGTTAGATTTAACATTTCTCTATTTTTCCTTAGCTCCTCATTATGATGCTGAATCTCATCACGTCTGGGTTGTGAGATGAGAGAGTCCACATGAGGTCCAGAACCATAGGTCTTCCAGGTCTGGTAAACAGCCATGTGTGATTTTGCCTTCTCATGCTTTTTGCAATCTGACAAAAAGCCCTTCATATTTCTGAAGCCAGTCTTTTTCCATGACGACAAAGTTCCAGGAGAAAATAAAAGACATGACCGGCAAAACATTGCTTTCTTGGTTAAACTACCACAAAACCAACCTTTCTTTGTGTACCAACTCTCCTGAAAGCTTCTATCTCCAGCAGTCGATTGTAAATTCGGCAATGGCCTTGCATTACAATTATATTTTGCTTGCCTGGTTGTTAAGCAGAGAAAGGTCTCTTCAGCAAATCACTTATAATATCTTCTTCTGTGGAAGCCATAATGCTTCCATTATAATGTAAATTAATAGAATGTTAAATCACTTATCTTGATCAGTTAAAACCTGAATGGAGTATTCAAGCATGAATTATCTTGAACAGATAATTGCACAGTTGCCAATATTAAATGGGATTGCCAGTATTTCTACTATAAAATATATTACTTGGTCATGCTGATTTCGGAGGGTACGACTAGACCACAAAATGTGTGGAACATGCTGTACACACAAAACTCACCATGTTTGTTGCTAGGTAACCACCCCTATGCAAATGAGCAATATTCTGTCTGTGCTTTTGTGAATTGTGAACTCATGCTGCTTGATCACCATTTTAGTTTGCATATTCAAATTTTGAAGGGCACAATCAGTGTCAAAGGCATTATAGGATGGTCTCAAATACAAAAAAATGCTGTGTGTAAATGCGGCAGCAATTTTTCGCTTGCTGTGTGTTTTAGTCTTTTTGAGATTTTTAATGGCAGAAAGATGCTGTTTTAAAATAAACTGTACTTCTGCTATCCTGTGTTTTGGGATGTCTTCATATCTAACTGACTTTGTCTTGTCTTGGTTGGAAAGAAAGCAAATTCCTGTTTTCCCTTTCAAGTCTCAAGTCATATGAACTGTTGTGCAATGTGCATCGGTATTTAAACAGAGAAAGCCGCTTATGAAGGAAACGAAACATGGTTGTATGTGTTTTGTGTTACCGGATATAAACCATTCCACTTTGATATTACAGTCTTTACCGATGTTGATATCGATTCGAAATTTTGGGAAAGAAACATGTTAATTCTCAAGCTTTAGAGTCCTGCTCGACATGCTTTGACGCACTGGATTTCCCAGTGAAAATTAAGTATTCAAGAACGGTTTTATTTGGCTTTAAGAATGCCAACCAGTGTGTTTGTATTGATCGTTGGTTGTTATCCCGATTGAAATGTCTTGGTATAAGGAGAAGACGTCGTTCAAGGGGGGAAAGAAGCTTTATAAGCCATCGACGACATCGACATTGTATATTCAACCTATTACTTCCAAC